CGCCTTCAAATTGGCTTTGGATAAAAGATTGTTAGAACTGTTTCCGAACGAGGAATACTGAACAGAATGCGACCATTAAGTTCACAACTTGTTTGTCTGTATGCCATATGGAACGCATTCACATTAAACGTCTCTCCCCAGCACGGCAAGAAGAAAAGCCTCTCATTCTCTCTGTTTGCAGATAGGCGAAGAAACCGATCGTTTGAAGAGGTGGATGCACACTCGTCACGCCTCAACACGAGTGAATTTTAACCCTCACTGTACACTGTGATTCCAGGAATAGAGGCACTTCTGAAAGATCACATTCAGAGGTAATGTACGGCTTTGCTATGGCAATGGATGAATTTTTCCCCAAGAAAAGAGATTCACAGTGAAGTGTGAAACAGCTAATTTTCTGACTATTATGAGTGAATATACACATAACCGATTTGCAGCAGTTGTTACAAGCGTATGTGATGATGCTCCTACCTTTTTGATGTTTTGTGTCGATAATTCCTGTGCATTCTTTCTAGTTTCAATAGAATTGTTTTCACCGGACGAATGGAGCCAGGATATTTGGAGCAAAAATGCATGATTCCACAATCACAATAAACGTTTAGCTGCAGAGCCAGAGAAATTTCGGATGAACTGCTGATGAACTGGAGCACACGTTCGAGGACACACGCAGTAACGGGGGCACTAATAGTTCGTACACTATTTCCGGATAATGCCTTGTTAAAGGCTGCACGACGCTGATGCGGTTCGTCAAAGGCATTCTGTGATCACCAAATTAAAGAACACATGTGGCAAAAAGGATTTTATCAAATTTCACTCATAAGTGTGTAGTTTTTTTATGATAAACGCGGCGTATTTGCACATCACGCTCATGAACTGAATAAAATAAGAAAGAGCATTGAAATAGAACCAGCCAGTCCGACGGCCCCAGCACACATCACATCTATGCTGGATAAACGTTGGTCTTCGATATCCGTGTTTTCAACAGCTTGGACGGTGAATATATATCGAAGGTATATCGAATAGTCGAGCTTAAAGTGACTTCGAGGAATTAGACTGCCACTAGTGCAAAGCAAGTAAATGTCAGCATCGCCGTTTGGTCAGCGCCGATATGCAGTATGCAAAAACGGGGTTTCAACGTTTTTTGCACTAATTTTATGGATGTTATTCTGTATGGGGAAGAAAACCTCCATTATGGTTATATATCCACGAAGCCACTGATGGACTGAGGAGAATTCACTACTACAAGATTGATATCAGTAGTAGGTGTTTCGGATTACATAAATAGAAATAGATTCTCTGAGAGGATATGGTTCGCCAGACAGTTGCATTTTTATAATCAATAACCATGCACTTCTGTGCTCGGGCTTCAGTGCTGTCTCATGAATTTCTATTTGAAGCTTGTTGTGGTGATTCCAGCTTACGAGAAGACGCATACTAGGGAGCGGACAACTGTAATGAATCAAGCTTCCCAGTTGACGCAAGCAATACGCGTACGTGTCACAGCTTCTGGACTATGAATCATAGGCCGATTGTACGAACCAATCAGAAGCCGTGCGGCCCAGACAGAAGTATTACTAGCACCTGGTGGGCAGAGTTTTGGGTGACCAATCTTTCCCGAATGTTCCTTCTGAATTACCGTTCGAGAAGTTGAAATCCCTATTACTGGACCACATTCTCCCAGTGGATTTTCAGGCCACTGAACAGGCCAAATTCAACTCAATGATCAGAGCTGCCCTCATGCCGTGCCGTGAATTCATTCTCCAGTTGTACAAACAGGCGTCAAAATGCAACTATGGTGACCGATTGGAAGACCAACTTTGTGACCATCTCATTGCTGGAATCAACAACATCTCATTACAACGTAAGATGTTGG